TTTGTGGCACTCTGTCCATCGGTATTAATTGGGCAGGGACCCCAACACCCTTGTTTGGTACTGTTCCATTTCTTTTTTTTTTTTTTTTTTTTTTACGAAAAATCCCTTAGTGAGTTTTGAACTAGGTATCTGCATTTAGTTAGCATCTGACCAGTACCAGATCTGGTCTGCCTATTGTAATCCTCGAACCGGGGACTTGACAGTTCTGCGGGATTCTCTTCAGACTCGATACTTTGTGAATTTGGAAACCGCAGCGCGACTCTCTTCAGGCTTGATACTTTGCGGATTTGAAGCCGAAATTGGGTCAGCCTATCGATTCTTTGCGGTCCGGGTCCTGACCTGTCAGACTTTCCGGACCACGACGTTTTCATCTGGGACCAATTTGGCACCAAGCATAATAGCTTCCTTCAGGCGATAGACTATATTAAGAATGGCGTCGGCTTTATTCGCCCTCGCAGGTCTACTGTCGGTCTCGTCTACTGTCGTTCCAAACGACAGTAGCGCGAACCGACAGAAGGTGGTTCTGTGGTTCAAAGGAGGTTTGACGGAGCGACGGCTGAACCTGTTTTCCGTACGAAGCTTTGCCGTTCATCTTGTCAAAACTTGCTTTGACTACCCATGTGCTTACACACGTGTCTATGGCGCCACCCAAGTGGGACTTCACTGCAAAATCCCAAGTGGGACTTCAATACAAAATCCCAAGCGGGACTTCACTGCAAAATCCCAAGTGCGACCTTTGTCAAATTTAGTGTGGCAAAGGAGCAAGGATGGCATGGATAAATTGAGAAAAGGTCCAAAAAAATGTGAGAAAGAAACAAATCAAGAAAAAGGCCCACCCACAAAAAAGGTCCCGCTTGTTTAGATTCTGTGGTTTTCAACAGATTTGCTCTGTTGATGTCTAAATCCACGGTCCAGAATGAATAAATTACTAATTAGAATATTCCAGGCATGTCAATAATGAATGGATAATGAAAAGCGGACCAGGTAATCAACAATTTCTGGCCATGGAATATCTGAATCTACGGTCCAAAATGAAGGGGGATGAATGGATAACGAAATGGGGACCAGGTACAAGTCTTCCCTACCTAGATTCTGTGTTTTCGAGAGTTTTTAAAGGTCGTGTATCCTTCGAATCTACAGTCCAGAATGAAGAGTCCAGGCAAGCGGGACTTCACAGTGAAGTCCCAAGTGGGATTTCACCACAAAATCCCAAGTGGGAAATCACTGCAAAATCCCAGGTGAGACTTCACCCCAACGTCCCAAGTGGGACTTCACCCCAACGTCCCAAATGGGACTTCACCGTAAGGTCAAGTCAACGTCCCAAGTGGGACTTCACTGCAAGGTCCACCAAGCTTAAACCACCACTACTTCCTGAAGTCGTGCCCATACACAAGCCACAATTTTCGGAAATGTACAGACCACTACAGGAGCGTCCAAATTCATCCGACTAAAACGTTTCTACTCATTTTTTTCCGTGGCCGATAGCTGGGGCCAAGTACTGGCGGTTTGACAAACGTACCATCAGGGATATTGATCGCCACAATTGTGCTGGATATGTCTTCGAGCACACTGTCAGTCAAGACACAGACACAGGAAAAAGGAAGACGTGTCAGAGAATCAGAAAGAATTGTACCAAAAAAAAACAAACAAACAGTTTCTTGTAAATCTTTTGCGTAAGAGCAGTTTTCTTGTATTTTTTTTATTTTTTTTTGACAAAGGCAGCCTTTTGGAGTAAAAAGCAGTTTCACACAAGCTCAAAAAAACTTAAAAAAAGGTTTTGGAAAACTTCTGAGAAAAGGGACCTCTCTCTCTTTTTTTTTCTTCCACTTTGCTTTCTCGTTTTAACCATCTGTTTTCTTTGTAGGTTTTTCACCTTGTTTGCCCGGGCAGCCCTGGCCGTGCAAGGACCAAAGAAGGTCCCAGCCAAAAAAAATAAAAATCCAAAAAAATTTAAAAATCTGAAAAGAAAAATTGTTATGCAGAAAAATGAACTGAGCAACTTTTGCCTCAGGGTCACATCGAAAGTCTTTATAGGTCTGGTCCGGAGTGCCTTGCTTAAACCACCAGTACCTCGCCCAGCCATTGAATCCGAGCCTGAATTTCCCTGCGCGCCGAATTTTCCCGAGCCTCTGTCGTTTCGTGAAAAAAAACGGGTACCGGTACCGGTACCGCTACTTGGCACTTCGGCCTGAAGGCAGGTCCATCTGAACGGACAACAGATGGACCTGTGTTCAGGCCGAATTGCCATACACATGATTTTTATGTTTTTTTTTTTTGTTTGTTTTTTTGTTTGTTTGTTTTATCGGGTGCGCCCTGCAGATGGTGCGTGGCCATGGCCGTACGTTTCCCGCCTTCACCTTCATCGTAGCGCGGTCTCCTGCCAGGCATTGATCGTCGTCTATGCCGTCGCCAACGTCGAGTGGACATCGTACAAGTGACGACATAGACGAGACACCGGACAACATGGCAATGCATCCTGGCCTGTTCTACGGGTCGATTCATACGTTTTTGAAAAATCGACCCTATGCCTGGCCTTCTCATCCACATGCCGGCTACTTGCATGGACCCTATGCCCGGCCTTCTCATCCACATGCCGGCTACTTGTGTGGGTATGTGTGTGTGTGTGTGTGTGATTGAAGTGTGTGTGTGTGTGTGTGTGTGTGTGTGTGTGTGTGTGTGTGTGTGTGTGTGTGTGTG